GCAGCCTGTGCTGCTAGAATGGAAGAAAGGAAGGAAGGATGGAAGTATGAGCTGGTAAGATAAGGCAGAGATGTTGAAAGGGTAGGAGGGAGCCTTACCAGGCTGTGAGGAGCTGAGCCATGTTGAAGACACAGTTGAGAAGGCAGAAGATGCAGGTGACGGCAGTGAGGTGGTTTTGGCCGTGAAGGGTGCGGAGGACTCCAACGCAGGCAGCTCTTTAGGAGCACTCATTGTTGGGGAAGAGGGCTTGGGCCTTAGTGTTGCAGGTGTAGGCTTGGGGCTGGTGGTTGGGGCTGATGTGGAGGAGACTGCGGAAGTGGCAGCAGATGTCAGCTGGGTGCTGAACAGTCTGCTGGGGGCAGGCAGAGAGCTGGGACTTGGAGATATCCTTGTCAGAGGGACTTGTGTGCTGGTAGCAGGGCTGACCTCTCTAGAGACAGAGGTTTTGGAGGTGCTGCTTGCAGAGGTGACAGTGGTGGTCTTGTGTGTGGTCATTGGTGGCAGAATGTGTGGCACGGTCATCTTTTTGTGGGTGGAGGCTGTCGGGATGAAAGCAGAGGTCATTTGATGGTGACCATGTAAGGCAGGAAGGTGGTTAATATGGGTAGTTCTTCGGTAGAAGCTTTGCGTCTGGGTGTAGGTAAGGAAGGTAGAACTAGGTACCAATAATTCTGATAGTGTTACCAAATAACAAATTGTGCCATGTCCCCCAATATATCTTGTCCTGTCCTGCTGCTTCTGAGACCTGCAGGGTGCTGATTGTTTTGGAGGATGTCATCTAACAATTTGTCTCTGTATCCTTCCTGCTGGAGCTCTTGAGAGGGGAATAGGTATCTCTACTTTCGTGTGCAATTCCACTGGTTGATAGGTAGTCTACAGTTTGCTTGCTGCAGACTGTGCTGGCAAGGATCCATGGGAGAGCTGAGGCTACTGAAGGGACAGGCATTGGCCATGGATGACCCTTAACTCTCTCCTGACCAGAGCACTCACCTGTTACTACTTTACTAGTTGGAGTCTTAGCTCTGGTTGGCTCCCTTGCTATAAAGAGAGGGACGAGAGAAAAGAATGGTTGAGTCTTGGGAAGGATTCTAGGCAAAGCATGTTGTGGCTTCTCCTCAAAGGGGGCTGTCCTCTTCAATACCAAACAACCTAGATTATGTGGAGCCCGATGGATCTAAGTGGGAGAACTTTAGCCTGGAATTGAGTGTACACCTTCTTGCCCACCCTCCACTGGTGACTCTCTTGTGCCCAGGGTCAGCATTGGCCAAGGAGGTGGCATGTATTGACCCACATTTGTCATGGGTGTGCCAGGGCCTGGACATCCTTTGGATGGAGAGCAAGCCTTGTGTTCTGTCTCTCACCCAAAACTGTCCTGAGGTGTAAACTGGAAACAAGTTTCCAGTTTCACTGCCTTCTGTTCCCCCCACTGTGCATTCTCAGGGTACCCCTGTAAGGGGAGGGAGTGTGCATTAGCATGTCTCTGATTGTTGTAGGGCAGGAACTCATGGATGTCTGTACCCTGATAAAGGCCTGTGCCCCAGAGCCGAACTCCTGAAATGGCAAGGGAGGAGAACGTAGTCAGGATCACGTGCGGGCCAGACCTGCCTGGGTCCCGGGAGTCCCATGGCAAGAGCAGTGGGAATTGACAATGAATACCAAAATTGAAGGTGTGCGGGACATACTGCTTAGGAGAGAATGGTGGGAGCAGGCAGAGCAGCAGGGAACCTTACCAGGATGTGATGGTCTCAGCCATGTTGAGGACACAGTTGAGGAAGGGGAAGAAGCAGATGAGGCTGAGGTGGCACGTGAAGAGCTGGGGCTTGGAGACATCCTTGTCAGTGGGACTTCTGGGCTGCTGGCAGGGCTGGCCTCTCTAGGGACAGAGCTACTGCTGGTAGACATGGCAGGGGTGGTCTTCTGTGTGATGAGATGCTGCACAAGGTGTGGCTTTGTTGGTTTTCTGTGGGTGACAACTACAGAGAGAAAAGCACAGGTTGATTGAGGGTGGCAGAGAAGAGAGGAAGGCAAAGGAGGTAGGCAACTCCCAGGCAGAAGCCCAATGATACATGTCGGGGTCAGAAAGACAGGACCAGACCCCACTGAGTCTTACTGGGTAAGAAGGAGAAATAGGCCAATGGCTCCCCCCTAAAAAATATGGGGCAAGAAGTGGGCCTGAGGGGTGCTCTCTGACAATTCAGCACTCCCTGCCTCTTCCTGGAGCTCCTGAGAGAAGAGCCTCACTGGACGTGCATGTCTCCCCTCCAAGGCCTTCTAGCCTGGGCGAGAACATAATCTGGAATAGCTGGGGTAAGTGAAGCAGAGTTTTAGGCCAAGGACATCTCTCAGCTCCCTCTTACTCACCTACTGGGACTTGGTAGTGCAGAGTGGTTGCCTGGGTTCCCTCACTCTCTGTAAAGTAAGGAAGAATGGATGTTAGTAATGGTTGGGAGCTGGTAAGGTTCCCAGTTAAAGTGGGTTGTGATACTTCCTCAGAAGAAGCTGTAATTGCTGGCACAAGAAGACCCAGATGTGTGCATCCCAACAGCACTTTGTGGGAGATGCACACATTAGGAGAGCGTGTACACCTGCCCTCCCACTACAGCAGACTTCCCCCTGCACACTGTCCCAGCCTGTGGTGTCAGTTGCTAACCTAGCAATTCAGTTGTCATACAGCCTCAGAGGATACTGTCCTTGTTGGTATATGGAGTACCTGACATCCCAAAGTGTAATTTCCTTTTTGTAATATTTATTTTGGGGGGAATTTGTTACAATGGCTAGGGGAACAAGTATTCTGCTATCTCTGAGTTTTCAAGAACTCACTTTGAAGCACAGAGAGATTTTGCCTAAATTTGGAGGAAGTGTAGAGTATGGCCTCAAAGAGAAATATCACGTTTAAGATGATATTTGAATTTCAGATGCTTGCTTCATTGGCAAGACACATAGATTTCCATTTTTGTCACACTTCTTCAGTTATCCATGTCCTTTCCTATCTGTTTGCAGTTTTAAGCCAACTAGTAAGAATGCTTGGAGTTTTTTGTAAGGAATACATTGACATGTGTCTTGTGAGTGATGGCTTCAACTGGCAGATGATATCAAAAAAGTGATATTTACCTACTGTTGTTAGTTTAGGCTTGCTGAAAGTTGTCATCTGAGATGTAGTTTGAGTAGGTATTGAGACGGTTGCTGCTTCCTTTTTGACAGCGGTCTTGAAGGGTAGTGTGGTGGACCTTACTTGTTCCATCTCTGTTGAAGCAGCGGTTGATGAGGCGACAGGTGTAGGCTTTGGTTTAGTGGTCATGATTCTTTTTGTTGAGGTAGTTATGGAAGGGGTAGTGATGGCTGTAGTCATGTTTGATGTGGCAAAAATTGGTGTTGTATGTTCTTTTGGAGTAAAGGTTAATATAATGTGAGTCAACAATTCACTGAATAATTAAAAACAGATAAATTATGAAGAAGCTACCCATATTCCAGAGACCCAGTTTTCACCCTTGAACTTTTGAATATTTTCTGTGTAATTATTTGTATTCATGTTCTCATAAGCCTGCCAAATCTTTCTCTCCTCATATTTGTTTTCTATTGTCTCATATCCTTCTTTGTTCCTATTTTCTATATTTTTCCTGTATTAGATTATTTTTTATATAATTTTTCGAAGTTAACTTTGTTGTCAGTTATTGGCTAAAGTCTGTATGGGCTTTTCCCAAGTGAGTATTTCATTGGCTATTCTGATGTTCCAAATCAGCCACAGTTTTTCAGCTTTCCGTAATTTGTATTACAAAGCTAAATAACATCATATTGTAGGACTTTCCTTGTTCCAGTGCACAAATCATCTGTCACAATGGCATCCTTTGAAGTTGCGTTTGACTCCTGTGGGACCTCTTTTTAACTCTGCTTTCCCTGATAGCCTGGGTCCAGGACAGCTTATTAGTTGAAGTGCATGTTGGTGGGAAGCTACATGTTATTATGAGTTTCCACAAGTCATAGAATGAGAAAGTAATTTATGTTGAAGGAGTCATCCTCCTGAAAGCAGAACTCTAGAATCCTAGACAAAGCTGCTGCACTGATACCTGTGTGATTCTGCTTTGGAGCCTGCTTACATTATTCAGAGTTAGTAGGTTGGGTGCCCCTTGAATATGACTGCATAACTGAACCAGTTGTCGAAAAGAGGCTGAAGCTGAGCTAATAAATCCACCTGGAGCTGAGCTTGGCTCACTGTATATAGAACTTCTAATATGCTTCTCAGGTGAGTCACACAAGTGTGTTTTGCTTGTATTTCTAACCTAGTGCCTATATCCTTTCTCTTTCCGTGCACTTCCAATCTATGCTTCTGAACATTTCTGGTTTACAAACTCCTTTCTGGAAGCCTGCTTTGCCTGCTTCATGATTTGGAGTCTTAATGCTTGGATCTTGAGACAGCTTGCAATGCTTTCCTAGTACAGTGATAACTCAATTATGTATAGAATGCACTTATTATAATTTATTTTAAACAGTAACACTAAAAACCTACCAGTTCTTGACTTTATTGTGACAAGAGGTGATGCTGGTGAAGTTCTTGGAACTGTGATTTTTGAGGTTATTGTTGGATTTGTAGTCTCAGTTGATATAGTAGCTGCAGAAGAAGCAATACTAGGTACTGTTGGTAGGGTAATTGTCGTAGAGCTTCTTGTTACTGTAGGCTGCACTGTTGTTACTAAAAGAAAAAAAAAATCAAAATTAAAGGCTAAGAAATAGTTCTTGACAATCTGTTTATAACAGAACTGTATAAACTGAAAATTATTTTTTGAAGTAAAAACACTGTCTTAACTATTGAAAAACATTTAGGTGAGACACTTGAGAGAAGTTATCTATCTATTCCTTTGCTATTATGTACAGTGAATACATTAAACAGGAATTCTTGCAGAAGCTTTATACATTTTCATTCACCACTTTAAAGTGAATTTGGCATAAATACTTGTGCATAACAGCAGAGATGGAACTGTATTTTATTATTCACATAGCCGACAGTGTAACATTTTCCCAGTACCATCTGTCTTCAGGGAAATTAATGGAATTTCTAACAAATTTAAGATCAGTGTATATATAGACTCCTTTCCTGGATCAGGCTATAGGGGTTTGATATACTCAGTCGTACATTTCCATGAAGACCTTCTTAAATTGTCAGTGTTATATGGCCAGTCACTACTAGGAACTGTGATGAAATTTTTGTGAGACTTTGCACATCATAGAATGGTTTGCATTGGAAGGGACCTTTAAAGGCCACCTAGTCCAACCCCCTCGTCATAAGCAGGGACATCTTCAACCAGATCAGGTTGCTCAAAGCCCTGTCCAGCTTGACCTTGAATGTTTCCAGGAATGGGGCATTTCCAATCTCTTTGCGCAACCTTCAGTGTTTCATCACCCTCATCATAAAAAAATTTCATATTTATATCTAGTCTGAATCTACCCTCTTTTAGTTTAAAACTGTTACCTCTTGTCCTATTGCTACAGGCCCTACTAATAAGTACTGTGTCCATCTTTCTTATAAGACCCCTTCAAGTATTGAAAGGCCATAACAAGGTGTCCTTGGAGCCTTCTCTTCTCCAGCTGAACAACCCCAACTCTCTCAGCCTGTCCTCACAGGAGAGGTGCTCCAGCCCTTGGATCATCTTCGTGGCCCCCTCTGAACTCGCTCCAACAGGTCTATGTCCTTCTTGTGCTGAGGACCCCAGAGCTGTAGGGAGGGTCTCACCAGAGCGGAGCAGAGGTGCAGAGTCTCTTCCCTCATCCTGCTGGTCACGCTGATTTGGATGTAGCCCAAGATACGGTTGGCTTTCTGGGCTGCAAGCACACACTGCTGGCTCATCTCCAGTTTTTCATCCACCAGTACCCCTAAGTCCTTCTCGGCAGGGCTGCTCTCAACCCCTTCATCCCCCAGCCTGTACTGATACTGGGGATTGCCCCAATGCAGGTGCCGGACCTTGCATTTGGCCTTGCTGAACCTCAGGAGGTTCACATGGGCCCACTTCTTGAGCTTGCCCAGGTCCCTCTGGATGGCATCCCATCCCTCAGGTGTGTCAACTGCACCACTCAGCTTGGTGTCATCTGCAGACTTGCTGAGTGTGCACTCCATCAGAGACAAGACAGAACTCCTTATTCAGTAACAGATATTTCGTTACTGACATCTGGAAGTGCCAAAGTATACTCAGGAAACACTGTTCTCAGTGATTTGTTTTTCTTAAGATATCTAACAAATATTTCTGGGAAAATTTTTGTGATAATTATGATACCAAGTTATTTTTAATCTTTGCATCTTATGCATGTGAAACTGGTAACACTACTAGATCACACAAAAAAGGATATTGCTTTCTTCATAAACACAGATCAGGACATAGATCAGTGGGTAAGTACTAGTTTGGTCAACTACGTAAACTAACCTGTTGAAGGTGAAGATGTTTCAGGTGTGGTACTAGTGCGTTCATCTCCTGTTGTGTTAAGGTAGAACAGGTTAAGTTTGTGAATGAAAGCATATTAAAATATTCCAAAACAAGGAAATTTCAGCTTGGATTCAAAGGATTGTGTTAATTTGTGAGATATTCCTGAGAATGCTTAATATTACATATTTCAGTGGTAAACTTCACATCAAAGGACTTAAACAATGACAAAGAAATCAATACATCTCGTACTATTGAACACGAGTAAGTTTTTGCTACCTTTCTTATGATTTTTATGCTTAAGGGCACCTCACTTTTCGAGGATAATGGAAACATGGTTTTTGTATGTAAATGAGAACCCTAGCTGAGATCCTGGTTACACAAGTTAGAATTCTGTAGTACAAGAAAAATTGTCCTTGAGTTTTTTTACATCTGCATGAAAACCCAAACTGTGCACCTAGAGTCTATCGAAAACATTATTTAATAAGATAGTTTTTCATAGAAGTAAACCATATAGTAGTAAATTTTAAGTCAAAATAATTTTTAAAAAAATCTCTAAAAAGAGATATGCTAAGTAGAGTCCATTAGCTAGGTCTGATCTTCTTCTATATGCTCTCTTTTTTTATGATAGGTGTTGCATATATCTGATACCTACAGCTCTGCTGGAGCTGCCCCTCCCACGCACCAGAACACCAATACACTTTCAGGAAGACCCACATTTAGAAAAGTACTCACATTTGCAATGAACATAACTTTTCATGTTCCTAACTAAAATCAGTCAGGGTCATCCAGCTTCTGTATTATAGCATTTCCTACCCTAATTCTTCTTTTAATTAGTTCTTTTCATTCCTTTATTTACCAACTGAAGTTTTACATTCTAGCAGTACAGTAGTGGGGTTATTGTCAAGGAAAGTTACGTTTGGATGAACACTCATTAGTAATTGAAAGGTACTAGGAAAAATAACTTCTTTGAGAATACACAAATGTTTTAGTATTGTTTTCCAGTTACTGTAGAGAAAGAAAATGAGTATATAGGTCACTGCTTACCACATGGCATGCATCTTTCCTTCTCATAGTCAAAGTATTCATCATGAGAGCAGTTGTAACAGCCTGAAGAAAGGGGAAGAGAAGTTTGTTTTACATTTCTCAGAAAAAGAACATTTAATTTATACTATTTATAATCTCTTAAATTTCTGTTATTAAAAAATTGTATCAATTGCAACATTATCTATTCAGGTAAGCATTTCCAGTATCATCCTTAGAAGAAGGGTCTGCCTATGCAGTAATTTTTTGGTTTCTCCAAGTATATCCCTTTGTCTAAAAAACATTAACTGCTGTCTCCACATGTTTTCTTAGGTAAGTACAGCGTATTCTTTTGATTCGGTGCAAGTCAGAGAATTTCTCTTCAAGATAAGATGAGCTCAGTATAAAGCTAGGTGTAGTACAGGTACTGAATTGATTATGTATTTAAAGTAGTAGTAAGGTAAAGATCAGCAAAACTGCTGCAAAGATAGCATCAATTAGAATACCATTATTTAACTGTGGTGTGACTGATTTAAAAAACACCATGGAAAATAATTACTATGTTACCATTTCCTGGTTTACACTAGTATAGCTTATTACCTTCAATGTTGACATATTTGTAGTTTTGATTTGGACAATTACAAGGCCTGTAATGCCAGGTGCAGTTGTCATTGTTGTAGCCATAGGAATAAGCATCACCACTTCCTGTTTTTTTATGAGAATTGTAATACTCACAATAGACAGCTAAAAAAGATAAAAGCAGAAGAGAAATCAGAATTTTTCAAATTAATGGCATGTTATTTTCAAAAGACTAAAGGGAGGACAAAATTAATGAACAATTTGAATAAAAACTTTGGTCACTGAAGTTATTAGCTTCTGATGTAAATTGAAATTTACGGTCCAGTGAAGTCAGTTTCTTTTTTGCAAATACACTCTGCAGGCATTTCCACAATTTTTAATGCATGATATAGAGAAATGTTGAAAAGAAGCTATCAAAGATGACAACTCTGGCATTGATTTATAACACACTCAGCCTCTTCTTTCCTCCTGTTCTGGAACACCTTGATATCTCTTTCCTGTTTTACTGTGTTCCAGCCAACTCAGCTGTCTTTATTTCCTTGACATCCACACAGAAGGTGATTTCATCATAGCTAAAGTGAAACTTTTTTTTTTTTAACAATTTCATACTCCCTTTGCTGATAAACTGACAGTTCACTGCACAGTGGCAGGAGAAGAAACAGGCTGCCTTCTGTGACCACATTATTTTCTCTCATTACTCCACGGTAGAAAGAAATACAATATTTTGATTAATTTAGGACAAATGAAAACTACAGACTTCAAAACTCAGGTGACTGAAGTCAACTATTTGCCCATAGAGAAAATGCAATTTGGGAGGTGCTTATTAAGCAATTACCTATGTTGCCATATTAATATACTCACAGTAACAATAATAATCTCTTAAATCTGTTTAAACAGAACTTAAAGAAACTTACGACAGAACTCAGGGGTCCTCCAGTCAATGCAGATACCTTTATCTAAGCATGCCATGGCATATACTGCAATGGCATCGCACATGCATTCACAGTCCCCGCCAATGTCACAACCACAAGAGTCTCGAACACAGGCTTCATAATAGGGCATACGATTCACCTGCATTGGAAAATGAAGAAATGAATTTTCTAGGAATTTTTTGTGCCTATTTGTTAAGAAAGTGTTTTTTCCCGGGCTAAACAATATGTGTTCCATTAAGTAAGAGTAACCAGTGTTTCCTCTGAACACTTGTCAAAGCAATTACAATCCCACTTCATACAAATCTTTTTAGCAAGAATGTAGGTATCTTCACATCAACAATAGAAACTCATGAGGTTTTGCCAGATATGTATTTCTAAATTCATAGCCATAAAAAAAAAATAAATATATATATTGTTAAAACATTTTAGGGAAAAGAAAATAAAGTGTTGGATTGTGACCATTTTTGAAGAATACAAATTATGCCTATAAATAAAAAGAAGGCCAAATCAATTCTTACCTTATTGTGACAGGCAGAAAAGACTTGGCTGTTGATGATGGAACATGTCTTTTCTGCCCATGCTTTACGATAAGGGTTCTTGCTACAGGGGTCCACTACAAAGTATACATCGCCACAAAGAGGATTCTCTTTCCAAGAATTGACAAATTCCAATTCATTTGATGCCACATACTTGCTTCGAGTTTCAAAATCATCCTTCATGTTGCCATTGTAGTTCCCACACAAACCGCATATAGTTTCCTAGATTAAATGAAAGCAGCAATGTCAGTTCAGCAAGTTACAATTACTCGCCTTTCCTTATGCTTTATAGCGAATGTGATCTACAAATACTCTCTCATACATTCTTAGCATCTTCTGCATGAGGTACTTTTCATCAGTGGATGAATGTGTTTCTCCTCTGAACTGTAAACTGTGATCATTTAGAGATCAAATTCAACCACGCAGTTGTATAAAATACAAGCACTTAGTTCAAAAATTTCCTGAATGCAGTAGGGTAATCACTTAAAAATCAGCCTCCTGTGAAAACCTCTGCTGTTTTGGAGATAATGATGAATTGCTAGTACTATCTCTGAAAAACCTTTGCCATCTCAGAGAGTCAAGGCAACCAACATCAGATGTGCAGTTCAACCTGAATTGAAGGACAGTTTACTGAGGAAGTTTTTCTGCAATACCTGTGTTTCTCTGGAGATCTTGATGAAGAAGTTCATGTGCTTATTCCAGATAAGGGTCATGTTATATTTTCCTGGGATAATGATATCGAACATCAGGTGAAGGGCATTCTTTTTCACGTTATATTGTACTCCAGGATTTTGCCCAGAAATAGTGAAGGTTTCATCTCGCAATATGAATGTCAAATTCTGGAAGAAAATTTACCTAGATGTTATAACTTACCAAGTTTCAGTATTTTCCTTATTCTGTGTCACATTGTTGAAGATCAGATGTTGTGCTACTACAAACTGTCTTGACATTTCCACTTATTTTTGAAAAGTCATGGCAGTCAGATGAAGTCCCCAGAGACTGGAAAAAGGGAAACGTTGCACCCATTTTTAAAAAGGGTAGAAAGGAGGTCCCCGGGAACTACCAACCTGTCAGCCTCACCTCTGTGCCTGGGAAGATCATGGAACAAATCTGCCTAGAAGTTAATGCACACGGAGGACAGGGAGGTGATTTGAAACAGCCAGGAGTGCTTCACCAAGGGCAAGTCCTGCCTGACCAACCTAGTGGTCTTCTATGATGGAGTGACACATCAGTGGACAAAGGAAATGCTAGGGATGTCATCTATCTGGACTTCTGTAAGGCCTTTGTCACAGTCCCCCACAACATCCTTCTCTCTGAAATGGAGAGATACAGATTTGATGGATGAACTGTTTGGTGGATAAGGAATTGGCTGGATGGTTGTATCTAGAGAGCAGTGGTCAATGGCTCAGAGTCCAGATGGAGATCAGTGACAAGTGATGTCCCTCAGGGGTCTGTACTGGGACCAGTACTGTTTAATATCTTCATCAGTGACATGGACAGTGGGATTGAGCGTACCCTCAGCAAGTTTGCAGATGACACCAAGCTGAGGGACAGGATGCCATCCAGAGGGACCTGGGCAAGCTCGAGAAGTGGGCCCATGTGAACCTCCTGAGGTTCAGCAAGGCCAAATGCAAGGTCCTGCACCCGGGTTGGGGCAATCCCCAGCATCAATACAGGCTGGGGGATGAAGGGATTGAGAGCAACCCTGCCGAGAAAAAAAGTTACAGAGAAAATAGCTCTCTGTCTTGAGCTCTTTTACTGTCTCCCACTCTCATGTGTACTCTTACAACTTTATTCCTGTCGTACTGCAGTGTTTCACTGTCTAGATAATCAACAGAAAGGTTTGTCTGGAGCATGCATTTATGAAAGCGGATCCTAAGCACACAAACTTTTTCACCACAGCGCTGACCAGCTGAAACTGCCACTATTTAGTTAGTAATGTGGCAAATGCGTACTGCTTGTAGTGACTATTCCTTGGGATAAAATCTCATCTGTCCATATTCTTCTCTCTGTCACATAATGAAGGAGTCTAAGATGATCTGAAACTACTGGGCATTACTGTTCCATAGAACTGAGAACAGTAAAACTTACCCAATTCTGGAAGTTGTCACACAGCAGTGGAAATGAGGATAACTGTTCATTGCTGTAGTTTCACGGATATATCTCAGGTAAGATCTGGATATATTTTGAATTGCAGATATTACCTGGACTTAGAGAAATTTGGAGAGATTTTGCTTGTCATCTATGATGAGAATTCCTCAATTTTGTACTATTGTTTTCCTGAGTTTAGGGGGGTGGTGAAATCAGTATCTTTTGACCAAGCAATTCACTGCTGAGTCCGTGAAGTTCAAAATTTTATGGCTTCTACATAGGCAAGAAGTTTGGGAACTGAAACATTGATGTGAGAATTGAAAAAGAACTAATGGCAATTACTACTAAAACTGAAGCTCTAGGTTTAGCATATAATTTCACTTACAAGACATCACTTCAAAGACACAGCTAAAGCTTCTGAAAGGGAAGCAAACATGGGCTTAATATAGCTTCCAGCTGGATAATAGCAGAATGAATTTCTTACCCCAAAGTAAATGCTGATGGATCTGGAGCACGTAACCCCTGATTTCCCACAGATGACATTCTCAGTAACAATTTTGAAAGAAGAAACAGGTCTATTAACACTGCAGCCATCCTAAAAAAAAAACAACCCAAAACATACCACAAAAAGCACAAAACCCCAATAGATTCTGTGTCTGCAGTCTTCCAACTTAAAACATAAAAGCATAAAGTAGTAAAGAAAGCTCAAAATGTCATGACTCTGATTCTGCTTGTTTTGGGAGGTGACGACCTCTGATTTTGTAGTCAAACTGACACCACTTCCCTAAAAGATATAGTTGGCTGGTACAGAATACATACATAGTAATGGCTGTTAAACATGTTATTAAAAGTAAAATTGGTTGTAATTGCATGAGAAAACTGTGTTTTGAGAAGTAAAGTCTTTTCATCTTAAGTAATAAAATAAGCAGAAAATTAAAAAACACAGTAAGTGTTTATAAAGATTCAAAGTGCTCTATTGGTTATAGATGCATCCTAGGATATTTAATTAGACATTTAAATCAAGCTATTTCTTGATGCTAAGATACTGCCAAAATAAGCAGCAAGAGGCAGATTACCATAGCTAATATGTATTCACAGTTGCCATCAAACACAAAACGCTGTCCATCAAAAGTGGTGATGTGGCCTTCTCCATACAGATTACACGTCGAGGAACACTTTGATTTCTGAACACATTTCCATTTGCCTTTTGTGCAAGTGCTGGGAGTGAGAAGAGAAACCATACTCATATTTCAAAGAAATGCTACCTTAACCTACTTCTTTTTATATACATGCACTTTTATAGACAAGCTGTTCATTTAATTGACTTGTGTACACTGTGACCAAGTTACAATTAATATAAGAACCATAACTAAAAATTAGACTGCCTAGAAAATTAATTCTTGATAAAGAAGAAATCTTAAGTAATTTTTGCTTTCTTTTTTCATGAAAGAAAAAATATAAAACTCGTTTATTTTTGCTCTTAGTGAGAACAGATGTCACTGTTCTGTGTAGTTTGAGTGGTGTTTTTTTTAATACTAGATTAGTAACTGGAAAGGGAATAATGTACTTTGAGAATGCTGCTAAAGAAATGGAAATAATCTTTTGGGGGGGTTGCCTTTATCTACAGAAAGGAAGGAAGATTGTTAATCCTTGACTTTATGTAGTTTACAGTTACAGGCCCTACCGGATGCTCTTATTCCTGGATTTGTATGTGGCAGAAATCACCCCTGAAGCCAGTACCATGACTCTTTTATCTAGACATATATATTGTCAAACGTTAAACTTCTCTTTATCACCTCTGTGCTTTCTCACTGTATTTGTTCAGTTCAGCTGTTGCCGTTTCCTACTCTCCTGTCAACTAAACACTTTTGTTAGGTAGTTGTACAGTTCAGTGAAACAGAGATTCCGCAATGGAAAACTCTGTGATTCTTACCAGATCTCGCATTCAGTTTGGATCTGTTCACCTTTTCCATAAGCAAGACCACCATATTCACATGGACACTCCTCAGCTGGAACACACCTGCCATCGAGATTTTCATATAGCCCATCAGCACAGACACAGCCTGATTCACATTTAGTGGGTATCTGGTAAAGATCACAGATTGCAAAATGAAAAGAAATGTGAGATGCATTTTTTCTTGTATGTGAATGGTGTTAAGACTGAACCTGTGCTAAGTTCTAGTTTTGACTTGATTTCAGTTTTGTGATTTACCTCGTACTAATATACTAGTCAATTGAGCTAGTTTCACTGAAGTTGTGATACATACTTGTTGTGTGAGATATCAAACGTACTTCAAGGATCTGAAAAATTTATCTTTCATTGCTACCAATCTTTCAGACAGAGTACAACAGAAGTTTCTTTATATCAAGGAAGCTCATTATAATTCTTCCAATTAGTCTGTTTCCTTAATATAAAGGCATCAGAAAGACCAGAAGTCCACCTAGCCTAGGTCTCCTGCATCCTGTGACAATCAGCAACAGATAGTTGGGAAAGAATAGAACAGGAAGCATAAACCACATGTTCTATCAGTTTCCAGTGACATGCAGCTTATGGAGTACCTAGGCCAGAGGTGATACCCTTGTAGTCAAGAATCCTTAATGGATTTTTATTCTATTCTTTTAATAGAATTTAATTCATTAATTAATGCAATGTAATTCCTTTAATCCCTTCTTGAACATATGTAAATTTTTTGTGTCCCCAGTCTGTGGAAAGAAGTCTGATGTTTAACTGTGTCATGTTAGAAGAAATATCTCCTTTCATTTCACTGGAAGGAACATAGAAAAGTTCTAAGTAACAACTAGAATATTCTTCTTCTCTCAGGAGGATAAATATCCCAGAGCTGTGAAACTCACACATTCAATTCCAGTAGCCAGCATCTGACAGGTAGGGGCACATGCAGCTCCATGCTTGTTTTCTAAACTGTCAGAACACGATATATATTTCTTAGGAGCTTTGCAGCTTTCTAGGAAAAAGGAAGAAAAACAAATATTGGAGAGAGTGTGAAGTACCAATTTTACAACATAAGGGAAAAGAAGATGTTTCTAAGTAAACCATATCAGACCCATACCTGCAGGATTTTGAGGTTTGCCTGTGCAACTTAGCCTCCCATTAACGCAGTAGCTAGGGGGAAGAAAGAAAGAAAGGGAAGGAAAAAAAAAAAAAAAATTCAATACAATTCTCTCCTACGAAAGAAATCTCAGTTTTTTGCAAAATGGCTTAATGTTTCTCACCATTGGAAATATTTCATTTATGTTACTAGCTCCTCCTCATCCTTCAAAATGGAACGTGAGTCAACTTGTCTCTCTTTACTTTTTGTAGTATACAGTAACATCAGTTTTGAAAGTGAATAGTAGGCCATTCACTATTATGATGACCTAACAAGTCATTCTTGAGCTTTGTATATAGCTGTCCAGATGCTGTTGAAAAAATCTCCAACTAGGAATAATCAGATCTTACCTATTATTTTCTAATTTTTTCCTTAACATTTCCAAGCTTAAGGTAAGTCAAATGCTTTTTGTTCCCTTAAGAATCTTTGTATTTTAGGAAAAGGCCAAAAAGATGTCTTAAACAATAAACCTTTGCTATTAAAAGTAAAGGAGACTGTACTGGTTTTGGCTGGAATGGAGTTAATTTTCTTTGTAGCAGCTGGATGGCGCTATGTTTTGGATTTGCAATCAAAACAGTGTTTATAACACAATGTTGGTTTAGCTATTGATGAACAGTGCCAAGGCCTTCTCTGCTTCTTGCACTGCCTTGCCAGTGAGTAAGCTGGGAGTCCGCAAGAAGATGGGAGGGGAAACAGCCAGGACTGAACTGACCAAAGAGATATTCCATACTATACAACATCATGCTCAGCAATAAAAGCTAAGGTGAAGGAGAAGGAAGGAGGGATGTTTAGAGTTATGGCACTTGTCTTCCCAAGTAAGCATCAGGCGTGACAAATTCATGCTTTCCTGGAAATGTCTAAACATCTGCCTGCTGACGGCAAGTAGCGAATGAATGCCTTGCTTAGCTTTGATAGCACATGCCACTTTCTCCATTATTAATAAGCAAAAATAAGCTTATTTAATAAACAAAGTTATTAAACTGTATCGCAACCCACAAATTTTCTTGCTTTTGCTCTTCTGATTCTCTTCTGTGTCCAGCTGAAATGGAGTGAGCAAGCAGCTGTATGATGCTTAGCTGCTTACTGCCATTAACCCATAATAGAATCATAGAATTGTAGAATTGTTATGGTTGGAAGAGACTTCAAAGATCATAGTAGAGACACATGAAGTCCCCTCATCTCCATTTTCAGTTAGTTGATCTTTAAACTTGACACACATACCAGGTAATCCCACCAGTTATTATTGACTGGTCAGGCAAGATGTACTTTCTATCTTCTAAATAGCAGGGACAATGAGATTTATGAACACACTCATTCTTGTGGTTCAAGTACGTTCCTTGAGGACAATGGCAGCCTTCAATAGGGATGTCAGTTGGATGACATTCCAGGGCTCGGTTAGAGAGTGACAAGCACGTCCTGTCACAGGCCTGAGTGTTGTAGCTGAATGTTTGATTGCCAGTACAAGTAATGGCTGTAAAACAAGACAAGAGTGTATGTTAAACTTCATTTACTTATCCTCTTCCTTGTGAAAGATAACTGTGCTCATAATGTGCTGCATATATTGTGTCAATAGCTTCAGTGCTTAATGCTTCATACTGCTTCTCTTCCTGTGGATGTGAGCTCTAGCAAAAAATATTGCAGACCAGGGCTTAACACCAACCATGTAGCTGTTTGGAAGTTTTATGAAGGTTAAATATCTTGTTGCTTCTTTGCACATCTTGGAATAAAATAATGCAGAGAGAAGCTTTGCAGAAACACCGATGTATTTTTTTGAATAACTGTGAAACCTGTGCCTATGTCTAAGTTGCATAATAGCAAAATCACATCTGTAACCAGAGTTTTTCCTAGTTCTTTCTCATCTTACAGTACACTATAGCTTTATTTATCTGTCTGTTCCACCACTTAATTATCAAGTTCTGGAAGCATCCACATGCTCACCTGAAAGCATATGAGTAATCTTTTTCATGTAGTCTTAAAATAACAATCCTTTCCTGAAACAGACTAGAAGGGTATTCAAAAGTTGGATATCCATTATCCCATTTCTGCTTTCCTCTTCTTTCTGTTCACTATTTTCCTCATTACTCTTAAGATGATTTGGACACTGTTTACAATACTGCTTTACCATTTATGTTTTTTGTTGTGTTATGACACATCTGTGAAGTCAGCAGCTCCTGGGAATATGGCTTTTATACCTGCTGGTGGGCCTACTTGAGCAATATGGTGTTGTTTTCTGATGACTGACAAGTAGTTTTACAATACGTTCCTACTCAGCTTTGTCATAGGTGAATCAAATATGGGAATATTCTAAATGGAAACAGCTAGACCTGCATACATACATTCATCTGATGGTGGACTATTAAGAGTTGGTTCAGTTACTTACTACAATTGTCCATACTGTTTCTCCAGTTCTCAAGGATCAAACCCATTGAACTGCATGTTCGTGCATAAGATCCCAGAGCAGAACAAATATAAGGAAAGGTCTCTTCATAATTACAGGCTTGGTAGACACATCTCTGAAACCCAATACACGGAGAGTACTTCGTTACTGGGGAGCAGACATTTGGAAGTGTGAAACCCTGGAGGTATTTAAAAGATGTGTAGATGTGGTGCTTAGGGACAGGGTTTAGCAGTGGACTTGGCAGTGCTAGGTTTATGGTTGGATTCAATGATCTTAAAAGTCTTTTCCAACCTAAATGATTCTACGATTCTATGAGTCTATGCTAAATTGAGGAGGTAAGTCATGCAAAATACATATTATTGCATAACTAAAACTGATGAAAAAGATCATATTAATTGCCTGATTGACATGAATAAAATATACTCAGTACCTTAAAAATGCTCTTTTTTATTCATTGCTTTTCATTTGTAATTTTCAAAACGTTTTGTGGAGATTGCCAAATATAATGAGCTCAGTTATGCACATGGGAAAATCAATACTTTGCATAGTTAAAGTTGTCAATATGGAGAACTGCAGCATGAGCAAAAATACCTTCTGATTCATAGAGATGGGACTGATGCCTATGAACAAATGGACTTTCAGTACGGTGGAGACACAATTTTCAAACACACGCTTGTTCCTTAGCTTCTATGCATTGCTGATCCAGATGAGAGGCATATTGTATGTGAGTACATTCTGGTCCCTATTTGGACTCCCTCTGTACAATGGCTATCATAATTTCCTACCTTGTAGAAAGGAAGAGGGTTCACCACAGCATGACATTTCTCAAACACTGTACCCTTCTTGGTAAGTACGGAGCAATGAGTCTCAGCAGATATTTCTAATGAAAGTAGATCATGGACATTAAACAGAGAAAGTTAGGAAAAAGAAATTAAAAAAAGACCTGGACACACTACTCTAGCTGAGCTTTTGGCAATGAAGAATTGAACAAAAGGAAAACTTCTTGGCTTGTTATCTTGCAGACTATACTTTTGTTCAAATATCTTAGTAGGTCTTCTCCCTCCCTCTTTTTTTTTTTTTTTTTAAAGACCAATAGCAATAGAGACTTGAGAAGGCAAAGCCTGGATTTCAGTCACAGCATTGCTGAGCAAGTCTAAGACATCCATGGACATTGCAATTTCACTGGAAGTATCACCAAAACCCTCTCATTCATAATCTCAATCCCAGATCTCTAGAATAGGATCTGATAAGTTTTCACTAAATACATATTCTAGAAATCAGAAATGCCTTGTTGGTGACAGAATTTGTGATGTTCAATTGTCTCAGTCTCTGCTTCTCTGAAACTCTCTTATTCCCCTGGTATGGGCTTATGGAAATGTCAGACAAACCTAGCTGGAGAGATCAGTTACAACAGGATCATCTACTTACTGTTCAGTTGACTCAAAGCACAAGGGTCAGTATCTCTCTCTAAAGCCGGATGGCAATTTCCTGCCCTCCAGGAATCTACAAACAGGGAGGCTGTCCCTTCAGTGATATCCATGCTAGTCATGAAGTCATCTGTAGTGTCTCCATTGTAGTTGCCACACAAACCTAGTAACATCAGAAATGCAAGAGATGGCTGAAAATTAAAGAATATTACACAATGGTCTATGTTTCATTCTATAATAGTGAGAAAATGGATTCAAAAGTTCTACATGGAGTGTTAATTAATACTATAGGTCAAGTAGCCAAAGAATCTTGATTATGTACATATGCAGTCACTGAGCCTCTGCCTTCTCAAGTTAAGATTGTCCACTTCTACTCGATGACAAATTCATACAGAAGTTTTTGTCTTGTTGGTATAAAAAAGGCTTTTTCAGTGGTTTTAAACCATGTAAAAGAGAAAATACGTTTGCAGTTACACATGTTTTCTTATGTATATAAAATCTGTAATGACAAAGAATATACATTTAAATTTTTTAAAAAGCTAAAACCTCTCTGTAATTCCCCATAGATAGTTAGAATGCAGGATATGCCTTTGCGGCTAACCTTGCTGTGCAATAAACATAAACATCTCCATCTGGTGCTTATCAGCTGAGCAGCTCTTAGATTCTAAGGCTGATGTTTACAGTGATCGTGCACTGTGTTCAAAGAACCATGTGCTCCAAGATGTAGAGGCGACACAAACTAATTTGTTGCCTCTTCATTGTGTAGAAAAGCACATATTGAAAAAGGCACACATAAAACATGTGAAGAACAGTATTATATTAGACATTAAAAATGTCAGCCATCTAATTTCTTTGATTAATTTTAAAGTTATTAGCAAAAAAAAAATTCTTAGCACAGCAGTTTTCCAGTGCAGGTATTTTGTTGTATTTCGTTTGAATCCAGAGAAGAATATACTAAGCTTTCAAAAGTACATGCTCTACATTTTCTCTTTTGCATGGGGACTAGATTTCTTACCTAGGGTTCTGCCTTTGAATTGTGATCCGACTTTCACATAGGCCTGGAACACAGGTGATGTTTGAACTACAAGTTCCAGCCCAAAGGTTGTATACATTTGAATGTACATTGAGGACTGTCTGAAAATAGTGATGTCTCCTAAAAGAACAAGGATATTTAGAAACACAGATTTTGATGCATAGGATATTGCAAAGTAATGATTTTAATGCATACGTAAGTGTTCTAGCATTCTGTCTACAAGCCTTCTCCTTCCACGCACAACTCTCCACAGAGGGACAGATGCAATGAGAAAGATTTTAATCTTCTTCTAAAACCTCTGCTATTGGCAATTGCAAGAGAAAAGATGCTGGGTTGTGCAAAACAGACATTTAATGTAATTTGGACTTTATGTATATTCCCTTTTCTTTACCTGATCTGTAAGGTAGCCGCTTAAGTTCATCATCGTCAGTAAGGAGTTCATTCTGAGAAATCACAATTTTGTCCTGTAAGAAAAGGACAGGAAATCAGAAGTAATTGTCTGTACTGATGGTATTTATATGTTCTTTAACTTAAGCAACTGTATGGTCAATGACCTATATAATGGGAAAAGATTGATTCAAGCTTTTTCTCACATGTTATTCCATACTGCTTTCAGTTTTCACTTTGAAAAATACTCTAACTTGCTGAGTTGATATTGCAGCCGAGATCTTTACTGTGTATGCATGAACCAGAACATATCTTTAGCATCTATCCTCCCTAATTTTTCAGTTCAGGCTACTAGCAAGGACTTCAAGTATTTATCTTGCTTATCTTGTTACTGAAATTCTGGATAGAACCTGTGGAGGGAATACTTACCTTTGTAGACAGGTAAATTACAGCACTAAGTGACGTCTCAGAATTAGAATAACCAGATTTTTCATATACAGCCATGAGGGTTCCATTGTGTGGCAGGCTGGAACTCTGGAGGAAAACAGTGAAAAGGGAAGTCTGTATCAGAATAGAAATAATTTGTAGAATAAATGTATATCATAGCAACACCTCAGTTTGTGTTCCAATAGGAAAACAAAGACAGACTAAAACATGTCCATTTGATATTGTGTGTTTCTAGACTGCAGGAAGTTACCTTCATAAGAACGTAAGTGCAAACCCCATGGAACCTATACGGTCTTGAATCAAACGTAGTAACAAAGGAGCCTCCTTCCAGTGAACACCTTCCAGGGCAGGGCAAGTCTTCACAGTTCCATTGGCCCATGGTACATTTACTGAGAAAAACAAGAAATGTAAGGTTATTCTTATACTAAGGCACTACTTACCAGCAGAGGATTTGATCCTTCTGTCTGGAGGTTTTGCTATAGCTAATCAATGTGCAAAACTGGTTAGTGAACACAGTGTAACATATATATACATTCTGAACTTTCATTTCCACTGTTTTGAAATTTCTTTTCTTTACACTCTAAAAACCTTCCTAGTAATGGAAGATGTCATTTGTATCACTTTTCCCCTTATATTTTCTATGCTTTGATTTCCTTTGCCTGTGTATATCAGTTGAATTTGCTCAACTCTTGCATGGATTGTCAGTAAACTTTCCTGAATAGATTAAGCATGAAAAGTGCATTCACTGTTACAATTCTGAGGATCACATTCCATTATTTATACTTTATTTTATTTATTGGAATTATGATTCCAAGAGAAGTAACACCAAAAAAAAATTTTTCCAATTTTTTTTTGGAAAAAAAATTCCAAATTTAAAAAATCGTCTCTTAAGAAATTATTTTCTGTTGCAAAACAGAAATCTAGTTTTCAGCACCGATTTGGTGACTAGAAACACTAAGATTGCCAGAAAGAAATTGTAAATACTGGATATTTGTTTTGTACTAATTGTTTTTACCTCCACTTTCACAGAGGAGATAAAAATGCTACTGTTTTTTGTGGCCAGAAGAAGCATTTATATTTGTACAGATTAATCAGAAAATGAGACTTGTATGTCTTCAGTTACAAATATATGATTTGTGGCACTCAAAGAAAGTGGCTTCAGAGATGGTATGACACATTTGCAGCTGCCCTCCAAAAAGTTAAGCTAAATTTTCCAGTTGTTTGTTGAGGATACTCTCCAACCTCTCACGAAAGAACCTGTTGCTACTCACCAGGTTCTACATGCTGCTTTCATTGTCTCATCAGGAGCGTATGTTTTCCCATTCAGTGTACATGGACACTGCTTAATGTGAACACATGTTCGATTCTTTGAGATGTCGTCAAGAACAGTTCCTGCCAAAGAATATAAACAAAACAAACACTTCTCCATATCCTTACTCAGCACTAAAGCTATTATAGCTTGAATGTCTTCCAAAATTAGCTTGTGAATGCTATTGTAGCACAGCCAGTGTCCATACTTCAAAATATAACATGCGGGACACTTTCCTTTAATTAAAATAGAACTGACTCTTTACAAGTGATAACAGCATTTGGCTACTTTGTGGTATGAAAGTGCAGACAATTGTCTTCATTTGAAATTTGAACTTAATTTGAAATAACAGTAAGTTTGAATGTTATTTTTTGAAATTTTATTTTTTTGCTGTGACACTCTAATTAAGTTGGGAATTTTGAAGAGTGGACGCATTCCCCAGACTACTAAGTCTAGTTTTAAACATGTAGCTCACAATACATTAATTTGACTACAATAAAATGGTGGTGATATTGATGTAAATACCCACATCACAGTAACCTTGGAGGATATTTTAGTTCTGAAATTTCAAGAAATTATGCAAATGATAGCCATCACTACAATTTTTGTAGGAAGTTCATCTTGAGCTATTTTAAAGGGATTTTACAAAATGCCCATAATACTGCAGAATTTCTGTGAGGTATGCTAAGTCTTGCTGGTGCCTTGAAAGGCTAGATACCTGTTTGGGATAGGAAATAAGGTCACTCAATGTATTTTATAGTACAGAACTTTAAGTAGGCAGCATATAATTATCCCTTCACATACCATGATCTTGTGAGGAAAATGCTTTCACAGTTCTGTTATTGCAAATAGTGACCAGGGACCTTTAAGGACCATGACTATTCAAGACTCCAGTTATATTACATAACCCAAGAAATGGCAGTTCTAGCAGCACAATGCCCTGAAATGCACTGCTAGTTCATTATTAAGAAGTCTATTCCGCTTGACTGGATATATGCGAAAAACATTTGTATGGACCATTTAGGATATGATAAATACAGAAACGATACCTTCTGGACAAAAGCAACCATAGGTACAGTGACTGGAACAGCTGTACTCTGGGTTGGAACAGGTTTTAATACATGGAGAACCACATTCCTCATAGATTTGGTTAGCAGAACATTTTCCCACAGCTGCAACAAACAGTGAAAATGTTAAGATTTTTAAAGTGTAAACAGAAGAATCTCTCATCTGCCACCTAGGATGGAAAAGACCTTGTGATTTCTGGCATTATGTTCTCTTATCCTGCTTCAATACTCAATTTGTCATCTGAGTATTCATTATTACCATCATATTCACTCTAGCTTTTATTATTTTTTCATGCTTTGTTTATTAGAAACTCCTTTCAGAAGCTTGAAGAATGGCAAACAGGCTATACCGCAGCCTAGTAAACTACTACAAATCAGATTTTCTGTAGTGCTTGAAGGATTTAAAGAATATAACTCTTGATCTTCTATATAGTTCCTGCTTCTCAGATATTATCTGCTTTTCAGAATGCAGCTACCTGGCAATTCTAATATGTGGAACTCAGAATATGTTTCATTATGTGATAAGCAGAGATTTATTCCTTATCTGAAAGGGTAAAAATAAGTGAGGTAGGGAAATAGAGGTAGTTAGAGATGAGCCTGACAAAGAAACAATAAAGACTAAAAAGTTCATTACCTTGGTATACTTGGCATTTATTTGAAAATTCTTCGCTTATCATCTTTGCTTTTGGGGAAATAAGGGTTCCCATTCCTTAAGCTTTGCCTTTTATCAATTTATTACCAGTCCTAGTAATGGTCTACTCACAATGTGAAAACTGCTGTGACTTGGAGAAAACCAGGCTATTATTTTACTGTAATTAGTAAGAATTATCGTACACTTCTGTCAATGCATACAGTGCCTTACTAATATTTATCTGAATCTATAAAATGCCATAAATGTGGTGCTTCGAGCCATGGTTTAGTGGGTTTAGCGGGTATGTTGGCATCGGGTATACGGTTGGACGTGATGATCTTTGAGGTCTCTTCCAGCTATAATGATTCTATGATTTTATAAGGAGTTTGCAATTTTGAAGGATTAAAACCAATTGCAGACCAACCAAGGAATAAAATGGGTTACCAATTTATGTAACATGGGTAACCTTGGAGAAGAGGAAGGGAAAAATTATTTTAGAAAGAAGCACAATTTTGAAGTGTCGGGTGTGATAATGGAGCTCAGTAGGGAACATTTTCAGTAAGTATGAGGAAAGAATGAAAGAAAACTCAATGTTAAATACAAAACAAAAAATGAAGAGTGGCACCAGTACAAGAAGATAAAGAGGACAACAGAAGAATATGGCACTGTATGTGCAGGGAGGGCAAAATGATGCAAGGCCTCATAAGTAACAATGGTGAGACGGTAGACTACAGCAAGTTAAACAGTGATTTCAGGAATATAATTCAATTGGGATTTCACCATTCTTATGCTAAAATTTAAATGGTAGCCAATCTTACAGATTCTTGAAACAGAATAAGAATCAAGGGATAAGGAGAAATATATTCCTGTCAAAGGAATTTATTTTACGAATTTGCTACCCATGACTATATATTCATATAAAGACTAAATAAAAATATGATTAAACTATATGCCTTTGAAGAACAATATCATATTAAGCAATGTCATTTTGAAAACTTCTCTTTTTTGACATGAGCTTCATCTCTGGTAATTTAATACGTGAGTTGGTTTGGAAATAACAACATCAATTTAAGTTACTTTTGATGTTTTTTATGATCAGCATGTTCTCTTATAAAACAATGAATCCTGCTACATAATGCTGACTATAGATTGAAGAGTGAGTCTGGTTCCCACAGGAACAAACACACACGTGGGCCTTTCTGCATAACAATCCCAATTCTACCCCAGCAACAGCCACAGATATCAAGTGCCACCAAATCTAAAAGCAGACACTGCCTGAAAAACATGTAGTCAGCTTCAGAGAGTGTAGTTATTTGGAAGGAACTTAACTGAAGGAAAACCTACTGAAAAGAGAATTGGTCCTGTTTTAGCCAAACCAGGACAACTGGCTAATTTGCTAAGTACAATAATGAAAAAACTGTACTTAAAAGAGAACAGCCTCCTGTTGGAAATCTGCAAAATTAAACAGTTTTCACTTGGTGGATGTTTCTCTCTTTTATGGTCACTGATCTAGACGTAGGATATATGTTTCATGCTTCCTCTTTCTCCTTTGAGGTTTCCATGCTCTTCATAATGCTTTACCAAAGACCACTGTTGTTATCTTAAGAAAAAACAATTGTTTGATTCAAGACAGTAGAGACTTTTCTATCAGTTGATTTAAATTCCAGTTAATCATCATTCCCCCTCTATGCAAAATATAGCAAGGTTAAGTACAATCTCCTGTGAATAAAACATTTGAACTTACAGCAGAGGTTTTCAGTTCTCCAGTTGAACACCATTTGATGGGACATAGCACATTGCCTTGAATACTCCGACAGTGTAGAGCAAGTGCAATTGTTTTGTCCTGGCTCACTGCAGTCCTGCATGTCAAGCTGGCAACGGATGACAAACCCATCCTTTGGCACACTGCAGGTTGGTGACACCAAGTTAAGTAGCTGAGAGCATATCATGGCCTAAATAAAAAGAGAAAGAAAATTGTTCCTAGTAGTGTTTCCCACATGTGAAAACCACAATAGAATATCACTGCTAGTTATGATTTTCTTGTTGATTTGTTAGCTTTTTTCCCCTACAGTTTAGTATTACGTATTTGACTTAAAATGCATGAGAAATTCACGAATAGAAGGGAATATAAATCCATCGTATAATAGAATGATCTTGATATGTTGAATTAGTTCTTTTTCTCATTAACTTGAAAATGAAGTCATTCTTTCAGTACCATCAATCCTCCTAAAAACAGCTGAGAACATTAGAGGCGGGGAGTATGTTGTCTCATGGAGATTCAGTTCCAGGACGATGTGAAGATAGCAAGATTTATTCCCCTTTGAGGAAACATTTGATACGTTCATATTGCCTATCATGTTGCTTGCTGCAGTATAAGGTCCCAAAGAGAAACAAGGTAAATAGGTTAAACCTCCCAGGCAACAGAAGTTCTTCACCAGGTCATAGAATCATACATCAAAGTAATTTTTCAGTGTGCATACAATATTCTTCAGAAAAGTATCTTCCTCACAGGACCCACAGAAACTCCTGTTCCTATTCCTGCTCTTCTTGTTAAAGAGTTGCTACAATACTTGTGTTTCTCTGTTTCTCTGTTCTGGGAAAAGGAGAACCTCAGAAGGATTCTAGCTGGCTCTTCGTCTGTAGTATGAAAGCTAAACTTTTTAGCAAGAGGAATGGTTTCTATGTTCAAATGAAGAGATTCCTGGGTTGCTAGAAAAATAAGATGAAACTATTAAGGAACAAAGAAGAAAAATCTCCTTTTTTAAGAGAAAACTTTTTAAGCATTCTGTAATTACTGGTAACCTATATACTGTATATAAATAAGTACATAAGAATTGCAAAGTAAGATCATATTCTTGTGAGGAAGTACAAATGGAACCAAAGAGCATGATCATTCTATGTAAAGTGAAATGCTTTTTAGAGGATAGCAAGGAGTACTTGCCATTAGGTATATGGTGGCTTTATGACCTCCTAGGTAGAAAAAAGGACAGGTTGAGAGAAATTGTGGAGTTTCCATATACTCAGCCTGGAAGATCTACCCAGAAGATACTAAAAATCTACTAGGGCATTAGTCTGGACAACCTGCTCTAGCTGACCCCACTTGAGAGGAGGGGTTAGACTAGATGATCTGAAGAGATCCCTTCCAAGCTAAACCATTCTGTGATTCTGAAAAATCTGTGTGGGAATGCATAATTTGAGTTTCACCAGTGAAGTAACTTAACAGGATCATCCTAAGTAGGATTTGATTCCTGTATCTGCAAAATCTAAGAAATAGAAACCCTTTTGTTCTTTGCTGCTACCAACCTTCCTCTTTCAACCATAGTTACATGGATGCATCATGTTTCAGGTACACAGACTTTCTTTCCATCTAGGACTGGAAGTGATAGCAGTTGATAGTGGTTGGCTCTGTTATGAAAGTTGTTATCTGCCAAAATGTTAAGACATTGTTGAATGTCTTCAAGTTTGTACAGCTAATAATGTCAGATCTCTAGTTGTTCAATGAAACGTTCTTTAAAGCTTCACCGGTTTCCGTGAATTTCCTGTGATGACGTGCATGAAATTTCAGAAAGCTGTGAGCTAAATGCTGGTATGTTTATATGAGTGATATAAATCCAGTCTCAAAAATGCCCATAGGTCTTTTTTCAAAATGTATTTTAATGCAAAAAACTCCTTTATCATATTATGCTATACAAATGTTGACTTCATCCATATTCATGGAAGTCAGTTTTGTGAAACCACTGCATCTTCAGTGTTCGTTTCTATCTGTCTTTCCACCTCTGTTAAGAATCATGCTGCAGAAAAGCCAAGAAGATCTTTCTTACGTATTTTTTGTGAGGAATGGTAGAAATTGATATCTCCTCAGACAGGCAGATCTCTGATGGATCATCCATTTTTTGTAATGCAGCAAATTTATATGCATCCAGTAATTTACCTGTAAATTGAAGGGTTATAATTTGTCAGGAAAAAGCCCACATGGATTTATTTACTTGTTGCTGTGATGTAGCAAAACTCAGATTCTACTCTTCGACTGTGAAAGGTCCTACTAATTAATCTCCCTGATGAAAACAACTACATCTTTTGCCCTTTGCCTGGAGTCTCTTCAGTAAAGCATACTTTTATAACCTTGATAATTTCTCTGAGTTATTTCCTAATCTATCACATCTGCTACCTTACGCGATACCACCTGCTACTGTTTTTCTGGAAGCTGTGTTACATTTTGCCAGCTGCTAATTCATGCCTCTTCTCCTCATCCACCATTCCTACATTTTCCCCTACATGTGGGGTTAAACTCATCACAATCCAAAAAATATTGTATACTTTTTAGAACTCCTTTCTGTGATGTGTATAGAAAACTGCATCTGGCTGTGTTGATCTGAGATTAGTTTATTGTGCAATGTCATGTCTCCACACTAGCACTATAGTTCAGATTAGCACTGTGCTTTCAAAACAAATCTTCCAAACATCCCCACTCCATACAATTTGATTTCCATTGTGAAGTGGTCTTGGCATACAGAGTTCCTTTAAAACAAAACCAAGCCAGAAGATGTGTCCAAGAGCATGTGTAATGAGCTCCAACAGTTAATGGGCATTAGTTCAACAGTCCAGATTAGAGTAACTCTGAAGCGAACCCCCAAACCACATACAGCACAGATGTGAAGTCATCGGCACCAACTGTTTTGTTATAAAGATCCACCCTTATTGGGACACACTACTTGTTAATGTTCTTGTCCACAAGAACATAGAGCCTCATTCTTGTTTCTGCCCAACATAATAATCTTCCTCACTATGCCTTGCTATGAACCTAGACTGTTGTGAAAGTTAGGTGAGAGAGATTGTGATCCTTACCACCTGTTTCTAAAATATAAGAGAGTCCTTATCACTTCTCTGAGGAACCCACAATACCATCATCATAGCAAATAGTAGTGTGTAGCACAATCATATGATAGGTATGTTGGTGACCTATGGGAGTGCTTTACTCAATTCTGAAACTGAGTGAGCAGTCAGAGCAATGTTAGTACAAGTATTAAATTTCCACCTTGACTCAGTTTAACCAGTTCTCCTTTCATCTGACTTGTCCTCAGATCTTACCTTCACTCACAAATTCGTTCAATTCATAACCATCGTAATTTCCACACATTCCACAGGTTTTCCCCATATACTTTTTTTCAGTCAATACCTAAAATAAAATAAAGCAAAACATTTAAAAGGATCACCCTAACTAAAATTATTTGTACAACATAACCTTTCTAAAACAAATTCAGTTCAAGGATCCAACTAAAGGTGATCCTTCTCATTAATTTCAGTGACTTGATTGGAGGAAAAGTTTTGGAAGCAGTAACTTCTTTTCCCAATAGGCGAATAGTGATTGTTACAATTTTTTGATTTAATAAAATCATAAGATTCTATGATATTTGCAGAGAATTGAGAAGAGATAATATTCTAAGGAGCCAGAAAAAATAGAAAAGGAAATGATGCTGTTTCCTTGCTCATATCTTTGTTGATAAAACACAAGTTTCAGGTTTGTTTTCTTAAGAAACTGAAGGTTACAGGAAGAAAATCTGTTTTCAGAAGAAGGTTATTCAATTATCTATTGCTCTGGAGAGTAAAGTGGCAGTAATCACTATTGGCTACAATCAGTGAATTATTATGAAAACCTTAGATCAGAGAAAATATTCTGACTATACATAGAATTTAGTGTGTACCCATCACGGTAGCATTTCCTGTTATACATGTGATAGCAATGCTCGTAAATCTCCCAGACAATTTATTATGTAACAATCTCTTTGTTTTAGCAAACTTACCAATTTGAAATTCAGTGTCTTTTGTCACATTAATATCACAGGTCACACTGAGAAAATGTATCATCTTCTCTAAAATATATCAGGGATTTTGGAGGGAAAACATGAAAGGATTCAGAAAAAGGAGAGAAAAAAGGAGCTGGTGGGACCACCATATGTTTGAAACCAACAGATGGCCAGGGGAAGCACAGTAGAAATTACAAAACTAAGGCATACACTATTAAATTCTACACTTTAAACAACTTCAGCATCCCTTTAGCAAAACATTGTAGCTGCTGGAATAGCCTGAGGAAAGTTTAAAATCTGTGAAAGCATTCACAAATGTCAACATTAGTGGCTTTAGTTAACTATCAATGCTGGAAGTGAGAGGAACATGCAGGTATAAAAAGCAAAGTTGTTTATTACAAGAGGAACAGATGAAGCAGGAAAAGAATAAATATCCAAACAGTAAATAGATGCAAAAAGCACCTGTTAAGTCTAAAGAGATCTTATCATTCCAGTAAGTCAGTGAGAATTTTCTCTTCTGCTTTATGAGAACATTTTACTAACCATGAGATAGTCCTCATTGTTCCACATGACAACTAGCTCCATCTCCATCAGCTTGGCCACCAGACGGATGTTGCGTCCATAAGGTGCTATTTGAATTCCATTGCTGGTGTAAGGCAACTTAATGACACTGTAATAAGGTGAGAAGAGGAACAGACCTTCTCATACCAATGTAATGCAGGTATTAGTTACCTTTTTTAACATATAATACACATACAATCTGAGTACCTGCAGTAACATGAAGTAGAATTTTTTTGCTTTGTAACAGTAACAATTCAAGATACATTAAAATTTCTGTTGACTGAAAATCGATGTCAGCAATTTCACAGAATAATCACCAGGACATGATTGCATAGTGGTTATACTAGTGAAAATGTTTGCGCAAGACTTGACAACTTCGCTTTGGTTTTATTAGGGTGTAGTTACATGTTTCAAGAACTTGTAACAATACAGTTTGTGTGTTAGAACTGTTGCTGGTTATCCTGAAGAGCTTCTATGGACTACAGCCTGTTAATATAGGAATTATTGCTACGACCAAAAACCGACAAGATTAAAGAAACCCTTAATGGGAATGTTGTAGCAGAATTAGGTTTTCATCCTTGCGGCTGAATTCTAATGCTACAAACTAACATCACTAAAGAACAAATATATTTTTCTAAGTACTTGGTATGTGATATAATCATAGAAAGTTGGTTGGAAGGGACCTTCTGAAGGTGCCCAGGCCAGCCTTCCACCTGAAGCAGGGCTATATGCAACACTAGACCAGGTCAGTCATGGCATTTGGTTCTTGTGAATGCAGGACAAAAATTTAAAATGCAGACCATTGGGTTAGGCCCATGGGTTTATCTAGTTTTCCTGGAACATAAACTAATAAAGGAAGTTTTTCTAAATACAGTTTGCTAAATTAAGGTATAGCTGCAAGTTATCTTTTTCTCATGATGGTTATTGTACACAGGTAAAGTATAATAAGATACAGACAATCCACAGCCAATTATTTCCCATATCCACACGTACTCACAGACAAAAATTCAACACTGCCTATCTGAGAAAAGTGCTGAAAACTTCCCTGGAGGAATTTCCTTATATGGGAGCAATTCCTCAGTAAACCAGCTGTTTTCTCGGCATAGTAATTCTTGGAATGATGTGAACAGTCAGTGCTCTCATACACAAGGACTTCTTTGTAAGCCCCTCCAATATTTCTCTGTTGGTTATATGGTTCAAAGTTTCTTTTCCATCCTATATATGTGTTATTTCTAGCACAGAGGGTTCAGAGTTATCTAAGTCTCAAATCAGATGAACTCTAAGCAAAACACAGGAATTTCAAGCAATACCTTCTAAAGGGTATAAGCCATTTCATTTGTGCTTGTGGTAGAGAGAAGCATAAGCAGACCGGTAGTACCTAGGTGACTAGTTTCAATGCGAGAACTGTTTTGGTCTGAGAAGGTTAGTTTATCCTTCGTACACAAACGTACTCTAAACTTGATTCAAATAACTGCACATGAACTACTTCTCTAGAGAGTGTGGATGCTTGATAGGAAGAAATGGGAATAAAGTCCAGTTAGATGTGCTAACTTCCATAATTTGCTAATTAATTTTTGATACAAAGTAGTCATCTTAAGCGCAATTGTTATATAACGCCTTGCCTTCTTTAAACACTTTTTCCCATTCATTGCAGAATCTTACCCAATGCTCCTGACAGAAATGCTGCCTTTCTCAACAATGACAACGGAAGGTCCCAGCTCAATAATGATCCTCGCAATTTTTTTGTCCAGCCCACGGCGGAACTGAATGTTGAAGTCTGGGCTGGTTTCATCACATACAGTTGCAAAGATATAGTTGCAGGTGCCAGTGAAGTCATACTGATATTTATCAAAGGTTGAAAAATGCCCTCCACCCCAGGTAGAACAGGAATCCTTGCTCAAAACTATAAAAGCGAAAGAGAAGAATGGATTTAGGTCTCCCACCAGCTTATTTGCTCACTCTGATTGTCATTTCAAATATAAATAGCAGGAAAAGCTAGTAAGTTTCTACTCAGATTAATTATGTAAACAACATCCTAGCCATTTTTTTCTGTAACCTCAAAATTTTATCTCAAGTCAGGAAGTGAAACAATAGTTGGAGTCAGAACAACATTCTTATTTACTGTAATCAGAGGAGCGCTCCCTAGCTTCCTGGCTTGGGAAACACACTTCTGTCTCCTTCATTGGTAATGAGGTTTACCTTCTTATTTCAGTCTGCTTGATCTGTCTGCAAAGGCAACAGCTTGCTACTGGAGAGATCTTTAACGTCTCAGGCACAACATTTATGAAGCTATCTATGGCATTACTGTATCATGATCCATTGCACAGTCAGATCATCAGATATCCAAAGACAGTCTTCAAAGTCTAACTTGTAAGTCCCTACTTTTTTGGCTCTGTGTTTGTGTGACAAAGTTCCAGCCAGCTTTGTAATACATGGAATGTTTTAATCACCTTTCATTTTTAAAAAGTAATCACTGTTCATCTGAATGGACAGATTTTAGGAGGCTGAAATTAATCATAAAAAAGAGATACAACTCCAGCGCTTGGTGTTAGATATTTCTATACCTACTTAAAGCATTTGAACAGTCCCTCTGAAGTTGATAGAACTACTGAAGTAAGTAAAATCAAGTCCTTGGTTATATATTTCGAGACTCAGATTGTTACTTTTAATTTTTTAATTATTTTTGCTTATGGAGCTATATGAAGCTCAGGTATCTTAGAATATATCTTAGAAGCATAGAGTATCAGGTAAGCCTATCAAAGTCTACCTGCAATTTATATTCACTGCTTTAAAGCTAAAACAAATTTTTACTCTTAAAGAGTGATCAAATGACTACAGAATTCTACTGGTTTTATTCGGGTCATGTAGAAAATACTGTTTCCCAATGATCTGTTACCTGTTAGCAAAAAGTACTCCTCTTCCATACTTCTGTGCTGTCCAGAACATCTGACTGGAAAACAGGAATCGGCTAATTGTTATCATTGACCTTCATGCCCAATTCCAGCTAGTTTAATATATTGTGTTTAAGTGATACTGATCAGCAAACCCCAGCTTTTTCAGTGTGCCAAGGAACGTTTACCTGGGGTTGCACAATGGTCAGAGTGCACTAGGTACCCCTTTCTATAAATATAGGGATGCCTTTAGAGTATTTGTTTTTATTTAAATCTTAGCAGAGAAAAATAACAAATGGGAATGTCAATAATGTCAAAAGAAAGTTTAAAACTATAATATATATTTGTCTTTTGAGTTCAGTTTTTATTAAGTGATATCTGGGGATTTTCTTTTAATTTGTGTATATCCAATGCCCTACTGTTCCTCTTGTAAGAACAGACAGAAGACAGTGATGAGTTGCTGAATATTTTTTTTTTTTGGCTGATCACATATACTCAACTATTTTTACCTTTTGGCTGAATTTCATGTAGCTTTTCTATGCTTATGCTGAATGAAAATTCACCTAATTCAAGCTACTCTCTGTTTCTTCTGCCTAAAGAAATGCTTCTTAGTATAATAAATATGCATTTTATGTCATTCTTTTTGTTCTACACCTTTCCATTTTCCCCAAACTAGATTAAGAATTTCATTGTCAACCACTGAAATGCTGCAACTTTTGAAGTACACAGAGTTGCTTTTTAACAGTATGCAACAGTAAAGCACAGTATTTTAAAGTAAAACATTAAAATTATGGATTCCTAGGAAGAATGTCTGTAAATAGAATATGACAGAAAAATTGTTCAGAATACTAGGACTGACATCGATATTTATTTTAGAATGGATCTAGTGAAAACTGTGTGTTTTCAGAAGGGTTATAGCCTGTATCCTGTCTTAGCAGAGGAACAGCATATCCTGTAAAATACAGTATATCACGTTAGCATGACAACATTTATTCATTCTTGTCATGGACGTGGAAAATTAAATGTTTAATGAATCAAATTTAAATTGAAAAGTCAGTGCCTCACATTTCTTCAGAATAGAACATGTGAAAAGTTGTATTCGTTTTGACCAAGGGTTGGTGTACCTTGATATTTTATTTCCAGCATTGATCGTTAAGAGACTGCCCAAGGGAAGAATACCACCAGGTCAAGTACATATGCTTCCCCAGATACTCTCTCAGTCTCCAATTATTTTCAATTCAGGGGATTTTGTGAGGCTATTGGGATTTGTCTGCTTACCCCCTTGTGCTCTGGCTTCCAAGTACCTGTCCAGTCTCGTTTTGAATAGAAGTGAAATTTCTTTGTAACAGAAAATACCACAATCACTGCTGTCAAAAGTTACCATTTTAATTATGAGTTAACATTTTGAAGATATCCGCTTTTCTAACAGTACTTCTGATTGATAGATAATATTTTAAGTATTTTAAAACTATAATATGTTAATCATTTTGTGCTTTGGCATGGCACACATTTTTACACAAGAAAGATGGTAGTATCTTACTATCTTTTGTATTTCTTAGACTCAGAAGGACAAGAACAAATTTGCAGTAAGTAGGTGGCTGGAGTTAATTTTGCCTACAGATTTGGGCACATGTACACAAGCCATTCTTAGGAGTTAAGGGAAAACTTCTGGGAAGCTACCAGAGCTGTGGCAACAATAGCTTCAGCTGACACAGCTGGATGTTGAATCGGAGATCCATCCATAACCTGACTCCCTACTGGCTGCTGGCTATAAAGGTGAGGAAGAACTATTCCATATTCTGATCTTTCACATGCACATAAATTTCTTTTGACCTGCAATCTTTAAAATACCCTCATAGACCTAGCCCATATAGAGAACTAGCTCTATTTAATTTCCTGGATTTTGCAATATCAAAAGAATCCATTTCCTAAATTATTAGATAATATTAGTTAGTAATCTGCAGGAATGAAAATCAAACAGATCACACAAATTACCTCAATAGCAAATTTCTAAATGTGGAAGGCTACTAAACTGCTCACAGTTTCTATCCTTAGGCATCAAAACCTCAGCATGGTCCCCTTAAGCACTTTCCATTTAGTGTTAAACTTACCAGAGGGAGACAACATATTTTACCGTCTTTTTATAGGCAAGCTTTTCATTTGGAATTTCTAAAACTAATGCTTTAAAATGTATGCTCCTTGAGGCAAGGACTTATTTTTATTATGTGTTTTGTACAGTGTGTTCTGCAATATAGAATTGATGCTGAATGGGGTTGTTACTCATAGTTGCAATGTGAACATTAACTACCAGATCAGGCACTTACTTCTTTGCAGAGATTCTTTCTGTTTTTGGAGAAAAAAGTGGGGCCAATAATTTCCTTCAAAAGCTGTGAAAGGAAAAAGACAACAGGAAGACGTCATCCTCTGAGCACAATGAAGCTGAATATGTGTATATTTATTTACTTATATTTAAACAAAGCAGGGTCAGCACATATGAATTGTGTCCTGATACACAAAACTGAATGAAAATTATACTGTAAACCCACACAATTCAGCTTGTAATAAAAAAATTCTTCTGCGACTGGTAAAACGTTACCAAAAGCTTCCAGAAATCCTCTGCAATATGGGATTTCCTGTATTCCATGCTCAAATCCTATGCTCTTTGTTAAAATAATGTTGGATAAATCTTTCCTCATGTTTTTGAGTTCTTATTTTACCATCTGTGTAGAAGTAGTGGAGGGAACAGCCAAAAACGGGAAAATATGGGAAAAGTAATGTCCCATGTGTTCTTCACAAGAATCATGGGATCTGTAGCAGAAGAGTGGGAAATCCCTAGGCCTAGTTGTTTCTTTTGCTGCTCATGTTAAGGTAGAACGATGAAAGCTGTTACCTGCTCCTTTCCACACACCTCTTCACAAAGCCTGTTCTGGTTGTGAGAAGCCAAGGAATGTTTAGCAAATGTGGAGTACAGTATGATCCCTCTTCTATCACAAACCCAGACCTCCTACATGTGCACAACTGCACTGTGTCCTCATACATACCCAAAGGTGCTTTTGCCTAGCAGCTTGCTTCCTGCCCAAAGTGCGAAGAGGGCAAGATAGATGTTGAAAAGGGCTGCCACAGCCAGTCTACAAGCAGTGAGCCCTCTGCAGGGACAGAGGTGGTGCATGCATGGAGTGAGCTTTCATAGAGTCAGTATCTGGATGGTAACAGTACAAAAAAGGACCTGAGGTGCTTCAGAAATGTGATACTAATTTTCAAAGTTTGTCAGGTCCAGTATTTCTTAGATAGCAGTAGCAAATACCCTGTAGAAACGATATAATTCTCTATTATATGTTTAGGATCTTTTGCAGCAGAGAAAATGTTATGGCAGGTGGTTTCTTTGATCACAGAAACCAGGCCAAGTCTACATACATATCTATATATACACTACAGATCTGCAGACTTTTGTCGCTGCCTTATAAACTGAAGAGAGTAAAAGCCTCTACGGAGCTCACTGACTGTAATGGACTCCCTAGCCAATTCCAAGCTGTACTACTGAATGTGAGGTAATATTTATCATGTGGTATGTCAAGAATTGTAGGAAAACAGGGGAGGTTCTGCCTTGTACGTGAGGCTATATTAAGGTACAAGAGGGCAATTTGGAACATAAGAGTTTCATCATATGTCTTTGCTTTGAATCTGAGATCCAGACATCTACAACTTCCCTGTCAGTCTATGCTTCAGTTCTTCTCTGAAATAATACTCACTGAAAAGATGTTATCTGGGTAAAGTAATCTAAGCTTTTAAGAGCTAAAATGCTACACTGGTGGAATTGTATACAATGAATATCTAGACAGAAGGGAAATAAATCAAGGATGTAAGTTCAGTGACAGAAGTGTTCCCATGCCAAATGTTGTTCTAATAGCTTTAAACGACATTCATCTGAGCCAGTTGTCTGGACTCTTTTCACAGGCTGTGAAAGCAAATACAAATTTGCTGAGTACAATTTGACTTGCAAAATATGTGTCTA